TTTTTTATTGTTGGCTGTTCAAAACATTACATAGTTCTTGATATATCATATTTCACAATTTGATTCAAGTGGGTTATGAGCTCCCATTTTTACCCCATATACAGATTGCAGAATCACATCAGTTACACATCCATTGATTTACATATTGCCATACTAGTGTCTGTTGTATTCTGCTGTCTTTCCTATCCTCTACTATCCCCCCTCCCCTCCCCTCCCCTCCCCTCTTCTCTCTCTGCCCCCTTTACTGACATTCGTTTGTCCCCCTTGTATTATTTTTCCCCTTCCCCTCACTTCCTCTTGTATGTACTTTTGTATACCTCTGAGGGTCTCCTTCCATTTCCATGCATTTTCCCTTCTCTCTCCCTTTCCCTCCCACCTCTCATCCCTGTTTAATGTTAATCTTCTTCTCATGCTCTTCGACCCTACTCTGTTCTTAGCTACTCTCCTTATATCAAAGAAGACATTTGACATTTGTTTTTTAGGGATTGGCTAGCTTCACTTAGCATAATCTGCTCTAATGCCATCCATTTCCCTGTAAATTCTATGATTTTGTCATTTTTTAATGCAGAGTAATACTCCATTGTGTATAAATGCCACATTTTTTTTATCCATTCATCCATTGAAGGGCATCTAGGTTGGTTCCACAGTCTAGCTATTGTGAATTGTGCTGCTATGAACATCGATGTAGCAGTGTCCCTGTAGCATGCTCTTTTTAGGTCTTTAGGGAATAGACCGAGAAGGGGAATAGCTGGGTCAAATGGTGGCTCCATTCCCAGCTTTCCAAGAAATCTCCATACTGCTTTCCAAATTGGCTGCACCAATTTGCAGTCCCACCAGCAATGTACAAGTGTACCCTTTTCCCCACATCCTCGCCAGCACTTGTTGTTGTTTGACTTCATAATGGCTGCCAATCTTACTGGAGTGAGATGGTATCTTAGGGTGGTTTTGATTTGCATTTCTCTGACTGCTAGAGATGGTGAGCATTTTTTCATGTACTTGTTGATTGACTGTATGTCCTCCTCTGAGAAGTGTCTGTTCAGGTCCTTGGCCCATTTGTTGATTGGGTTGTTTGTTCTCTTATTGTCTAATTTTTTGAGCTCTTTGTATACTCTGGATATTAGGGCTCTATCTGAGGTGTGAGGAGTAAAGATTTGTTCCCAGGATGTAGGCTCTCTATTTACCTCTCTTATTGTATCTTTTGCTGAGAAAAAACTTTTTAGTTTGAGTAAGTCCCATTTGTTGATTCTAGTTATTAACTTTTGTGCTATAAATAAATCTTCCACTGACAGAATATGGGAAAGACATTTGAGGGTCTTCTTTCAACCCTAGCAAGTGAGAAAAAATAATGAAAAATATTAATACAACTAACAATTATCTACTTTACCACTACCCTCACAGCTGGCATTTCAACCAGTGCTGGTCACACTTCTCCCAAGTGCTCAGCTAAACAAAAAAGGGTGTGGGAAAACACAAACTAAGAATAGAGAGAGTTATTTTCATTTATAGAAATTTTCATTTTGAAGTCCAGGTACTTCAAAAGAGCTAGAATATGATAGATTTTTTTTAATTCTTTATGGAATAATGGAAAGAATGGTGTCCAATCAACTACAATAACTTCAAATTGAATGACACTTATTAATTTTTTTCTTAGTCTTTGGTAAAGATCAGTTTAACTATGAAATAGAAATTCTACAAGAACTAATTGGCATATGTTTATACAGCACGTTGCAAAGGCAATGGAGAAAGCAGGAAGTCATCCTTTATTCTTTCCTGTGCCTCCCCACATATATTCAACAAGTCCAATTAAGAAATAAACTAAATACTCCATTAACCTATCCCAGATGATATCACCATCACCTTTTTCCCTAGGCCAAGGATCTTCAGGGATTGGCCTATCTTTAAAATACAGCTTCCACTTGTTTTTGTAAACAACCTTTTATTGGAACACAGGTCCAAACATTGACATATTGTCTTAGTGTTTTCATATCACAATGGCAAAGTTAGTGAGTGTGATTGGCCCACAAAGTCTAAAATACAATCAGACACCACATAATGTTTTGATTACACTGCCTAGTGACTCCTTCCTTGGCTCTCTTAGTTATACAAGTACACTCTCATGATGTTGGCACAATGATAAAATTGCCTTATAGTCTATTTCCCAGAATGTATCCCCATAATTTTTTTTAAATTTTATTGGTGCATTATAGTTACACATAATATTCACTGTGACATACTCATACATGCATATCTCATATCCTTATTTATAAGCAACATATAACTTTATTTATTATCTGGCCTTGTACAGAAAAACTATACCAAACCTAGATTAACTAAGCTATTAAATAATCCTCTGCTCTCCCAGAACTTACTGAATTCATTCTACAAACTGCAGTCCCAGGGAAACTTTTAAGAACAAAAATCTGATCGTTCAATTCTTTGTACAGATAAATCCAAACTCCTTAAAGTAGCTTTCTGCTGATTTTTCCAGCTTCCTATCTTGCCACTAAACAATCTGACCTTTGTGCTCAAGTTATTTTATTTTAATCTCTCCAAATTCACATTGCTCTAATCTTCAGGAATTTGGCATGTAGCATTTCCCCAACTTGGCATACTATGCCTCCTCCCTTTCTCCTAACTCCAGATCATTGTTTCAGGTCTCTGCACAAATGCCATCTTTTCCAAGAAGACTTCCTTGACCCCACTGGCTGGGATTAGAAGTCCTAAACATTCTCCATCCTGAACTTCTCAGACTCTAATGCATAGTTATTTTCAAGCCACATCACAAGTACAAGGGCAGAGAGAGGCTCAGTGGTATTAACTATGGTACCCTTTTAACCAAGTAAAGCATTCCTAAATTTTTCTTCAAATAAATTTATGCTTTATATCATGTTCTGAAAATTAAAAGAATTTTATCTTTTTGGGGGGCAGGGGGTACTAGGGATTGAACTCAGGAGCACTCGACCACTGAACCACATCCCTAGCCCTAATTTGTATTTTATTTGGAGACTGGGTCTCACCGAGTTGCTTAGTGACTTGCTTTTGCTGAGGCTGGCTTTGAATTCGTGATCCTCCTGTCTCAGCCTCCAGAGCCATTGGGTTTACAAGCATGTAGCACTGTGCCCGGCACGAACTTTATCTTAGTGATTTATCAGAAGTAATCAGGCATACAGATTTAACCAATAGATAAACCATTTATAACCATTTATGAACAGAATAAGTTTACATCAAAATCAGAAAACTACCAAAAGACAATCTCTTCTAAGCACAACTATTGTGTGCTTATTAGTATATTACCTAAGGAAACCCTGATTTTAGAGCTTAAGTATTATTAAAGATTATATTTAATGAACTTTTAATGAAAACTAAAAAAAAAAATGTATTCTCCCATTACCTGTTCTTCCCTCTCCTTTTCTTTGGTCTTACTTCTGTAGACTCTAGCAGAAGTAGCATCCTGGGATGGAATGGCAGAGATCTGATGCAGTGGCATGCTCATCCCAGCCTCTGATCCAGTTTCCTTCTTTATAGAAGAGAGTCTCCACTGGTAGAGTCATCTTGGGCCATGGACTTCAAGCTAAGAGGAGTGAAGAGAAACATAACTGAGCTAAAATACTTTTCTAAGAATGAGATTAGCATTTTATCTTTAATTTCATATTTTGACTTAAATAGATAATGATAAATGTTTCATCTTCAAAAATGACAGAAGTTAGCCAGATGTGGTGGAACACACCAGTGATCTCAGCAATTCAGGAAGCTGAGGCAAGAGGATTCAAATTCAAGGTCAATCTCAGCAAGTCAGCAAGGCCCTAAGCAGCCTAGTGACAGCCTGTCTCAAAATAAAAAGGATTAGGGTTATGGTTCAATGGTTAAGCGCCCCTGGGTTCAATTCCTGGTATTCAAAAAAAAAGGAAAATGACTTTTTAGGAGGAAAATTGTAACATTTCTCTAAAATGGGAGTATGCTGAAGAGGCTGGTGGATCAGGTACATGTATAATCAAAGATTAATTCTCCATTGTCTACTTAGGTTTAAGCACTTTATTCATCTACTATATTTTTGAAGTTAAACTTTTTTCACAATCAAGCACTCATCCTGATATAAGCAGTTATGTTTCCTTAAAACTGCTGCTCTTGAGCATATACAATAGTAAGATTGGAGGTTAAGATACATGCCCATGACAATCTCAGGGGACCATTTATGCCACAGAAACACAAATGCAAGAGGGTTTAAAATTATTTGCAGTTTTTAAGTACCTGCCTCTTTACAGCCACTTAAGCTAGTCTTCTGATGTACACCCCCGCCTCCAGGAGATAGACCTGTAAGTTTACTTGAAACAATACCTCTCCTGTGCCAGACGTATTGAAGGTAAGTCTAACTAAGTCTATAAACAAACTAAAAAACAGACCATACCACTTTCTAAAATTTTCAGTTGTGGAGGGACACAATGTCTGTGTGTGTGTGTGTGTGTGTGTGTCTCTCTCTCTCTCTCTTTATTTATTTTATATGGTGCTGAGGATCAAACCCAGTGCCTCACATGTGCTAGGCAAGGGCTCTACACTGAGCCACAACCCCAGCCCACCATGTCACTTTTTAATGTGAAGGTAATTATGAAAGCATAAAGCAGTTACTACACTATTTTCTTTGCAAAATCTCCAGATATCTATCAATTTATCTTTAAAAGCAATGGTTAAACCTCTATATTATACCTAACAATCAATTCCACTAATGCTAACTCAGAAAATATGGGACACCTGAAATGAGCATCCATATCTGTTAGAACTGAAATGCCAAGGCCAGTTCTTTGAGTCTGGGGATGGAAATCCTATGTTCATGGATCAGAAGACTTTATATTGTTAAAATGTTTACAGTTTGAATCTGGAATGTCTCCCAGAGGCTTGTGTGTTAAAGGATTGGCCCCAGCTGACAGCAATGTTGGGAGACAGTGGAACCTTTAAGAGGCACAGCCTAGTCAAAGGAAGCAGGTCAATGGGGGCATGCCTTTGAAGGGTGTGTTTTGTCCAAATCCCTTTCCTCCTTCTCTCCCCATCTTTATTTCTCTCCCTTTCACCTCTCTCCCTCCCCACATCCTTCCTGGTCACCATGAAATGAGCAGTTTTCTTCCACCACATTCTTCTGCCATAATGAAATGCCTTATTATAGGGCCAAAAGCCAAAAGGCCAAGAGATCATGGACTGAAGCCTCTGAAACTGTAAGCCAAAAGAAATCTCTCCTCTTTTTAAGTTTTTTATATCAAGTATTTTGCCAAAACAACAGAAAACTGACTAACACAGATGACAATTCTCCCCAAATTGATCTAAAGATTCAAAGTAATACCTATCAAAATGTAAACTGACTTTTTTGCAGGAATTTGAAAAGCTAGTTCCAAAATTTATATAGAAATTCAAGGGACTCAAAATTGCTAAAATAACCTTGAAAAAGATGAACAAAATTGGAAGATTCACACTTCTCAAATTCAAAACTTAGTACAGTTATCAAGATCATGGTATTGAATAAGTATAGATAGATCAACAGAGATGGGTATGGTGGTACACAATATAATCCTAATGACTCAGGAGGCTGAGGCAGGAGGATTGCAAGTTCAAGACTAGCCTCAGCAAATTAATGAGGCCTTAAGGACTTAGCAAGACCCTGCCTCAAAATAAAGACATTTAAAAAAAGAGCTGGAGCTATCACTTAGTGGTAAGCAACCCCTGGTTCAATCCCCAGTACCAAAACAAAACAAAAGAATATATATATATATAGATCAACAGAATAGAATATAGAGTCTAGGATTCATGTTATCTATGGTCATCTGATTTTCAACAAAGGCCATTCTATGGTGAAAGAATAATATTTTCAAGAGGATGGAGACAACTGAATAGCCACATGCAGAAGAATGAATGTGTATCCCTTCCTAAAATAAAGAAAAAATAGACAAACTACACATCACCAAAAAAAAAAAAAAAATGTGCTTTTAAAGACATCATCAAGAAAGGGAAGAGCCCAGTCCAGTAGCACACACCTACAATCCCAGTTACTGAGAAGGCTGAAATAGGAAGATATCAAATTTAAGGCCAGCCTGGCTAATTAAATGATACCCTGTCTCAAAATTTTAACAAAAGTGTCAGGGTAGGACTAAGGGTGGATATAGTGACAAAGCACCAAGTTCAATCCCCAGTACTGAAAAACAACAACAACAAAAAAAAAGTGAAAAGATTTCTGGATGTGTGTGCATACCACAATCCCAGCTATTTGGGAGGCTAAGGCCGGAGGATCACAAGTTCAAGGCCAGCTTTCAAAAAACATTTTTAAATAAAGGACCAGAGACAGCTCAGTTCAGCAATAAGTGCTTGCCCAGCATGTGCAAAACCCCTAGGTTCAATCCCTAGTACCACCAAAAAAAAAAAAAAAAAAAAAAAAATCCACAGAATAGAAGGAAGTTTTTGTAAGTCCTGTATCTAGTAAGTGATTTGTATTCAGAATATGTTTAAAAAAAAAAAACTCTCTTACAATTAAATTTAAACCCAATGAAAAACAATTACTCAAAATCTTTGGTCATCAAAAGAAATGTAACACAAACCATGAAATATCATTTTAATTATGTCTCTAACTAAAGACACTGCTGATAGAAATATATGCAGCTGCTTTGGAATACAGTCTGATCCTTTCTCAAAATGTTAAACATGTCACCACATGACCCACCAATTCCACTCCTAGGGCATACACACTCAAAAGAAATAAAAACATTTGCCCCATTTATGAAAACTGCCCAAAAACTTGTTTTTGTATTCTCCATTCAGTAGACTCATTCAATAATAAAAAGAAATAAAGTACTGACACATGCAAATGGATGAACTTTGAAAAAATGTCATTTTAAGTGAAAGAATTTAGTCACAAAAAAACACACAATATGATGACATTTGTATGAATGTACAAAGTAGATAAATCCACAGAGACAAAAAGTAGACTGCTGATTCACAAGGACTGGGGTAGAAATAGGCAAATAGTAGGGGGAAATGGCTAAAAGGGTTTCCTTTTTAAACCAATGAAAATGTCCTAAAAATGACAATAGTGATGGTTATATAACTCTTGGATACACTAAAAGTCATAAGATTATAAACTTTAAATCAGCAAATTGTAATGGGCATAAACTATATCTCAATAAAATTATTTTTAAAAGAATGTGGAAACAATTAAAGTGGTCTAAGAGAAATTTTTATTTTCCCTTTGTTCATTCCCTAATAATGTATCTAGATGACACGGAAATGCCAATTGCTTCCCCATCTCCCACCCTTCCACTTTTAAGAACGGCAACAGAAAGAGTACAAAATCAGCAAGCAGAAACTAATGCTCAAGTCCTAGCACTAAACTGTGAGAGGTTAGGCAAACTGACCAATTTCTAAATTCTTACTTCCTGTCTGTAAAAGACAAGGGTAATAACCTCAATTCAATTCAAAGGATTGCTGTGAAGATCAAATAAGATTGTGGCCATGTGCACAAATTAAAGAGTTCTCTTTAGCACATGTACCAATAAGGTTTTCCAGGTATTTGCAGTAATTTTCTCTCTCTGCATCACAAAGGTCTATCTAATTGCTTTGTCTTAAACAGTGCTATTTTCTCTTCCTCCTATGCTTCAGTGTAACACAAGATTTCCACAACTGGGACCTCAAATCTTTCTGACATTTATTTAAGACCTCTAGGCATCTTGACTCTGAGGGAAAGCAAGGATGACAAATCTATCGCTCTAAGGAGAAATGGATGGCCTGATAAAGAAGACAACCAGCAAGGGTTAACAACTGAACTTTCTGTTCTATGTGCTTTCCAGATAGTCAAAATGAAAGAAGATCTGCCCATTCCATTAACAACGTTGTAGACAAATACAGATGATGAAGGGGAGCCAGGAGAAGACAAAGATGCTATTGCAGACTCCCTGAGGAAAAAAATCACCCAAAAAGGGTCTGCCTTCCTCCCAGCACACTTGCTTGCAAGATGCCAGGTTCCGGCAGCACTCTGCTCTGTCCCCTAAGTCCTGGCTGAACGTTACAAGATATGTATGCACAAAAGAGCAGAGGGTAAAAGGGAGATACACAAAGATTCCCATACCTACAGGAAATCAAAGGTATGTTCAAAAATGGATCAGAAGTTACCATCCCATTCATAACACCTGAATATACACAAATAAAACTTGTTTTCCAGGAAAAATCTTCAGTTGTCAGTCATTTATGTCATTTGATGCTACAAACAAATGATAAAATCCAACCTCAATATGAAATTTCACAAAGTAGCAATGGAGAACCCCTAATAACTTAAAAAAAAAATCTCAAACTAAAATTTAACAAACACAGCAAAACTCTTAGAGACATTCTAGCCAGGTGCTATGGCACAGGTCTATAATTCAGGCTATCTGGAAGTCTGAGACAGGAGGATCTCAAGGTTCAAGGCCAGCCTAGGCAACTTAGCAAGACTGTATCTCAAAACATAAAATAAGGGCTATGAGTGTAGTTCAACAGTAGAGCATGTACAAGGCCTAACATGTGGGTTTAATCCCCAAAACTTAGAGACATTCTAATTAAACT